GAGTGTGCGCCCAGGAGCACCTGCACCTTCCCGCCTTCTCTGCGAGCAGACAGGACCCAGGGTCTGACTACAGCCCCCTCCCCACCCAGCGCCGCCCCCACCCCGCCCAGCCCCGGCCCCCGGCACTCACGCATCCTCTAGACAGTGCGCGGCGCTCAGCACCCACTGCTCGGACACCAGGAAGCCGCCACACAGGTGCCTGCCATTCACCTGCACCGACGCCATGTAGGGCCGCGCGTGGGACGCGGCCTCGCGGCCCCCCAGGATCCGGCCCCGGGGCTGTGCATCTGCGGGTGGGCACAGGGGGCGAGGGCAGAGCACAGGACCTGGGTTCAGCCTAGGTTCAGCCCTCAGACACCCCCAAACCTCAGGCCGCCCCACCGTTAGGGTCTTCCTGCCCAAGTTAAAAGCCCAGATTCCCGGACCCCAGGCAGGACGCAGGGCAAGGCGGCAAGGATAGGTAGGGCGTGATGGGTGCTGGGCAGGCGCCAGCCCTGCGTCCCCCTCAGTGCTCAAGGGAAGCCCCAGAGAAGAGACCGGTCGCAGTCCTGCCCCTGTCCGCGAGTTATGCCCGGGCCCTCCATTTTTAGCCCTCTGGTTTCAGATTCTTGGCGCCCAGACAGGAGGCGGGAGACTCAGGACGGCTGGGGCTTCTGGTTAGAAATTCTGAGTCACGGTTGGGGGATGGCTAAGGGCTGGGTTGCTATCCAAAAGGTTCCCTGTTCGAATCCCACCCACGGGCTCATAAGGAGATCAGACCCAAAACTAAACGCTGCCGTCTGTCAATGCTGACTCACAGCGAACCGATAGGGCAGCGTAGAGCCATCCCTGTGGGTTTCGGAGGCTGCCACTCTTTACCGGAGCAGACAGACGACATCATCATTCTCTAGCGGAGCTGCTGCTGGTTTCCAACCGTTGCCCTTGTGTTTAGCAGCCCAAACGCATGCTCACGGTGTCACCAGGCGTCTTGGGGAGAGAGGCCCGGCTATTTACAAGGAAGCTGATTGGAGGTTTCTAAGCCACCACATGGGGCCGCTATGGAGTCCATGCTCCCACCCCCACCCCAAGTAGGGCCTGTGACAGCTGGGGTTTCAGACCCAAAGTTCTGAGACTTCCTGGCTTGTTAGCGACTTGTGACGGGAGCTGGGCTGAAACACCGCAGCTGTGGGCAGCATTTGTCTGCCAAACACAGTGCCCAGCCCACAGCACTCACAAGGAGCACGCTGAACAGCGCCGGCTGTGCTGCGGTTAAGCCAGGCTCAGGGCTCACGCACGTTCCAACCTCATTAGCAGCTCTTCAGGAGAAAGATGGCGCTCTGCTTCCGTCGGGATGACAGTCTGGGCGGCCTTGTGTTGTCGTTGGGTGCTGTGCAGTCGGTTCCGACCGATAGCGACCCCGTGCACCACAGAACGCAACACTGCCCAGCCCTGTGCCCCTCACAGTGGTTCCTGTGCCCGAGCCCCTGGCTGCAGCCACTGTGTCCGCCCATCTTGCCGAGGGATTTCCTCTTTTTCGCTGCCTACCTATGTTGAGTGCCTCCCAAGCCGAGGGGGCTCATTTCTGGCACCATCGCTGACAGTGTTCTGCCTCTGGGAGGATTTTCAGCGGCTGATCCCACAGAAGTGGACAGCCCAGTTCACGTTGGGTGACCCTGCTGGCGTTTGTAATACCAGTGACTTAGCTTCCAGCACCACGGCCACACACACACACGCCACCACCGTGTGACAAACCGATGGACAAGTGGTGGAGGAAGCTCTATACTACAGAGTCTATAGGGTAGGTAGTTCTACCCTGTCATATGGGGTCTCTGTGGGGTGGGAAGTTCTACCCTGTCATATTGGGGTCTCTGTGGGGTGGGTAGTTCAACCCT